ACACACACACACACACACACGCTGCAGTGATTTTATCTCCATCAGAGGAAGTAATTACACATTCTTTTATGATCACAGACGTTTGAAAGCGTTTCTTGTCATCTGTGGAAGCAGCAGTGAAGGACGCTGATGTGTGTGTGTTTACGGTGTGAAATGAAAACACAGTAACGGCTGCTTTCTGTGTGCAGGGACTGCTGTGCTCGCCTGTCAGGGGCCCGAGGGACTGTGGGACCAGCAGGGGCCCGACCTCAGCAACTGCACCTCCACATGGGTCAACATCATCAACCAGAAGGTTTGAGAAACACACACACACACACACACTCACACACACAATCAGACATTTAGGAGAAAATGCCATTTTCACTAATTATACAACAGTTGGATCTGTCATTTGATTGGTTAAGCCGGCGTTGTTATTGTTAACTGAAACTGTTCTAAAAAAACCGGTTGTGAAATGTTTGTGCCAAATACTGAAGAAGTTTGTAAATGGAAAATAATTTGGTGCATCAGCTCAAATTATAACTAACAAGTCACGGACATAATCGTAAAACAATTACAAAATGCTTTTATTCAAAGGCCCAAAAAGTGCAACATGCTAACTTTTGTGTAAATCTGTAACATTTTGCCTTTGCACTAAGCATGTTGCACTTTTTTGCACTTTTTTAAGAATCATAACATATTGTCTTTGCACTGAGCGTGCTGCACTTTTTTGTGAACTGTTAACATTTTTCCTTTTCACTGAGTGTGTGGCTTTTTTTTTTTAATTTGTAACGTTTTCATATTGCGCTTTTTTCTAAACGTTTTGCATTGTTGTCTTTGCACTGAGCATGTTGCACTTTTTTTAGGAATCTGTAACATTTTCTCTTTGCACTTTTATTAATAAGTAACATTTTGCCTTTGTACTGAGCATGCTATGTTTTTTGTTACATTCATGTATATGCAAGCTTCTCTTGTTGGACGTATTTGAATCTATTAAATATGCTTTTCTTTTATTGAAATACAGCTGAGATAAAATATAATGTAAGATAGTAGTTACATAAAATACTTTTCACTAGTCATTTTAATTCGTGTTGTGATTGTTACCTGAAATTAAAAATAAAACTATAAAACGTGTTTTTAGTAAATTAATTAAAGCTGAAATAAAATATAAATATTAGGTGAAAAACAAACAAATTTTAAATACCTAGAAAACCTAATAAAAATGTGGCACATAAAATTACTAATACTTAAAAATATGAATAAGTAATATAATATTATATAAATAATACTAACATGACACTGGGCTGAATGAGTCAGTTTGGTTATAGTGCAGACTATAACCAGAATTGTTAGTAACCAACCGTGACTTATTATATTTGTCACTTTCTGTTGTTCACATTTATTTACATTGGTTTGTTCATATTCCTCAAGCTATGTTCTTATTTTTATGATAATTACTGTAAGTATATCTAAAAGAGGAATGCCAAGGCACGTGTAGCCTTTAACATCACATAGAAAACTACAAATAATGTATTTCAGTGTTTTCCTGCTAACTTTTACTTGTTTTTCATGTTCTGCTGACAAGAAGGCGCTGTTCGCTCAAACAAATCCTACAGTTTTACAAATGTGAAATGAGTGTGTGTGTGTGTGTGTTTGTAGACCCAGCAGGCAGCCCAGAAGACAACATCTTTAGTTGCGTCTCATTAGCAAATAAACACATCTCTTCCTTTAGCTGGAGGAGTGTTGTGATTAAACTCAACACGAGAGAGCTTGTGTTTTGCCACGACTTGAAAGAACAGCACTGTCTGGGAAGTCAAGAGTCGTTCGCTTCTCACATAAATGCAGCCTTGATGAGCATAAGCGATATCTTTAAAAAAACATTACAAGTCTTACTGATACCAAACTTTTGACCGGTAGTGTGTATATATATATATATATATATATATATATATATACTGTATATATACGATTCTCTGCAGATCCATCAATCAATATTGCATGATCATAATTCCCAACTTCAGTGATGGTATATTTCTCCGTTCTGACTCTGTACATAGCTAACACAGATTAAACATGAAGCTGATAAATATATGATTATGACTTTATGAATATGGTTTACATGTGTTGTTCATGCATTTTTGTGGCTTTTTAAAATTAGAATAAAATATGTGGTTACACTTTATTTCGATAGTCCACTTTAGACATTATATTAACTATAAGTAACTTTGTAACTACATGTCAACTACATGTCAATTAATTCTCATTAATTTGTAACGACATGTCTACTAACTCTCAGAGTAGACTGTTAGGGTAGGTTTAGGGTTAGTAGAATAAGTTGACAAAGAAAGTGTTAGAAGATATTAAGCAGACAGTCTACTAATACTCTACTAACTGCTAGTTGACATGTAGTTGCAAAGTTACTTACTGTTAATAGAATGTCTAAAGTGGACTATCGAAATAAAGTGTTACTAAATATGTTTACATGAGAAACGATAAACCGGTGTTCAGTTTATTATAAAAAGCTACACATAATACATTTATGTGTCATTTTATTTTCTTTATTAAGTGACACTAGGATGTTATTACAAACACTCTAAGTGAGATTTGAGCAGAAATATGTGTTAATCTCACACTGTCACTCTGAAATAGATGAATGGTGCGTGTTGACTTTTTGAAAAGCCCTGCATGCATGGATTGATGCGTCAGGATCACAAATCCTGGACTGTAAATCCTCTTTTTAAAGCTTATAAATAACTTGGGTTCATATTGTCATCCATGCATTGACTGGGACTCAAACCCGTGATGACCTTGGTGTTGTTTATCGTCACGCTCTGCTGTTTGAGCTGCAGGAACAATAACACCTATTCCAACACCTTCAGTTCTACTGACCGTCATCAACACACAAACACACACCTGCAGAAAAAACGCTTTACCAAATCACTTCATTCAGAGCTTTCACGTAAATGAAAAAAAAAAAAATCATATTTCTTGTGGAGAAATGTTTAGATCATTTTTTTTTCAATGTTAAACACATTCCCTTATGCCAGTGTAACATGCAGAAACAGCTGCTAATAGCTTATGTTTGCTATCAGTTTGGACTCACTGTGTGTGTGTGTGTGTGTGTGTTGTAGATCCGAGCGGGTGAACCTGCGGCCATAATCTCCCGTGAGCTTTCCGAACAGACCAAGGGTCACATGCACGCGGGTGACATCACCTACACCGTCCGGGCCATGGGTCACCTGATCGACCTGCTGGATGTCCAGCTCAGAAATCTCACCCCCGGAGGAAAGGACAGCGCCGCCCGGAGCCTCAACAAGGTACTGCGTCTGACATACAACACTATAGTATATGTCAAGTCAAATGTATTAGTATAGCGCTATAAACACTGTTTCAGAGCAGCTTTACATAAAATCATGATGTTGGTGTTAATAATATCTTAATATATTCATGCCTTAAAGTTGTGTAGAGCTGAGGGATAACATTTTGCAATCTGAAATCATTCATACTAGAACCTGACCGATATATCGTTTTGCCGATTTTATCGGCCGATATGAGCCTGTCACAGATATATCGGTATCGCCGAATATGTCACTGATGTGACCATTTTTTTTAACAGAACATAAAACGCAGATAAAATGCTTGTAAATGGTGTAATTACGTAGTTTGTCCCACAGAGCACGCTCCATTGTTTGCTACTGGCGACCTGGATGAAACACTTTTAAAGCTTAAGTGTATGGAATACTGCTGAAACTTTGAACGGTCATATCTCCGTAAGGGCGCAGCGGATCCGCACCAAATTCGGGGATCCCTTCAACTCGAGGAACCCTCTCGAACGCCGAATCGAGTGTACATTTCAAGGCCCCCTCTCGAATGAGACCACCCCGGCATCGATAGCCCATGGGGTCCGGGAGTTATGGGCGGTTAAATTCGTGGTCAGGCTCGAGCTGAATGGATCCCCCGAATTTGGTGGAGATCCGCCGCCGCATGCGCGAGATAGTGACACCAGCCAACACTTTCACTTCAGTTAGGAGGTCTCTTGTTCAGGCAGCAGCATTCAAGCGTTGTCTTAAGTGCGAAGTGGACTTCACATGATATTCCGCCATGATTCCAGTTCCAAGGGAACATACACGTTACTTTCAAAGGGCATTAAAGTGCATGAGATGTGAATTTACATTGTATTTATTTACAGAGGTATTTTATGTCACACTTCACACTTCTCTAGTAAGTTTGTCTGTGTGTGAAGACAGTTGCGCAAATCCGTGAATGAATGTTCTGAAGTGAAATAAACTCCAACGAAATAAAGTTGAATGGAATTGAAATAAAGTTAAATAAACTTAAACTTTACTGTTAAGTGCACTGATGTCAGACTCATTTTGGATAATAAAGTTTAAAGGGGTGGTTCATTGCGATTTCACTTTTTTAACGTTAGTTAGTGTGTAATGTTGCTGTTTGAG